CAAGTGGGTCAATGTGAAGGCAGCCCTCCTTTCTGTTCTTTGTACAAGGAAAAACTTCCTAGCAAACCACAACGAGCAAGCTTGCTGGACACTGACTGCGTTTGCAAGGCCCACATAGTTGCTTCGAAGACAAGTCTTCTTCCAGAACACAAAGCTGGGCAGTGCTGGAGACCCAGGCCCTGGATGCCTTTTGCGCTCATGACCCAAGTGCGCACAGTTGAAATAGAGCCAGATGTTCGCCTTTCGCGTTTGCAGCCTGAGGTTCCCAAAAAACAGTAATTAGGGGAACACTGTTCCTGAAATCGAGCAATGCCCATGTTCAGTCCAAAGGTGTCTTGATGATTGGTTCACGAGTGGGAAACTGAAAAAAGGCCCTTTATATCAAGAGGCGTTGGTGGTACACACCTTACGTGCTTTGCACATCGGCGCACGGTGGTTTGTGTTGGCCCTGTGCGTGATACCAGCATGAGCGGCTAAACAATCACAGCCGAATCCACTGTACGCAGCTGGAACTGAGCCGCACTACCACAGACGCCACCATCTGCGAGATCCCAGCGGCGGTCCCGCCGGCGGGGGAAGCGGCGGCGGCGGTTGCCGCCGACGCATGAGCCCCTTCACCATCAAAGCCGCACTACCACAGACGCCACCATCTGCGAGATCCCGGCGGCGGCGGTGGTGCCGCCGACGCACGAGCCTCTTCACCATCAAAACGGAGCGTTGCAAAGAAAGTCTTTAAGGTCAATCATATCCTTTGTTTTCCACCACCATTGCTGGATGTCAGGCTAAAAAATCACAGCTGAATCCACTGTACGCAGCTGGAAGTGAGCCGCGCTACCACAGACGCCACCATCTGCGAGATCCCGGCGGCGGCGGTGGTGCCGCCGACGCACGAGCCCCTTCACCATCAAAAAGGATCGTTGCAAAGAAAGTCTTTAAGGTCAATCATACCCTTTGTTTTCCACCACCATTGCTGGATCTCAGGCTAAAAAATCACAGCTGAATCCACTGTACGCAGCTGGACATGAGCGCACTGAGCCGCACTACCACAGACGCCACCAACTGCGAGATCCCCGGCGGTGGCCCCGCCGGCGGTGGAAGCGGCGGCGGCGGTGGTGCCGCTAGCGGCGGTAGCTGCGGCAGCCACGGAGAAGAACCCAGCGCGGGAGCACATGAAACTGGCACGCTTCGTGACCTTCGCGAAGTTGCATCCTGGCCAAGTTTCAATAAAGTGTCCAGTTTTGTCCAACAACAGACACACACACACACCCATCAGAAACACGTTCAGTCAAAAGCGATGCCAAGAAATCCGAGACACGCGTCCTTCACAACCCTTGTTGTGGATGTGCCGGCCACCGCAAAAACGACATTTCCTCCACCACATACCCGTCCGCCAGGCCCGAGCCCACGCAGACACAAAGTACGGCCTTAGCAAAGGCAGATAGCAAGCCCTGGTTACATTAGCGCGAAAAAAAGAGATTCCCAAACCAACCCATGAGTTGCAAAAATGGCCCTAAAAGACGCTTGCTTTGATGCCGGGCAAGTAGCTGGTTGGACTCCGGCAAGTCCTCCGTCTGCACCTCGGCATCCGCAGTCTCCGCAGGCTCCGCAGCCTTCGCAACCTCCGCCGTCTGCACCTCGGCATCCGCAGTCCACGAAGCCTCCACAGCCTCCACAGCCTCCGCATCCCCGGCGGCCCGCAAGCGTCGCACCCTGCGACGCTTTCTCTCCTCATGCCCCTCTGCAACCTCCGCAGCCTCCGCCGCAGCCTCCGCAGCTTCCGCAGCCTTCGCAGCCTCCGCACGCCTCTTGAGCGCGCGCTTCGCACGCTTCGCCCGCTCCATCCAAATGCCACTCGAGCCCCGCTGGCAATCATCACGAGTAGAATAAGTGGGCCGAAACGACATAAGATAAGTGTCTCGAAATGGAATGAAACTAAAACTGATCACGTGTCTCCAGTGCTCCTCAGATACAAAGGGGCTTGAATGGTCAAGGAATAGTCAGATCAGGTTCCATGTTAGCAGGTTTCCTTAATCCCTTCCCCGTAACAAAGAAGGCCCCCTAATACAGTAATACACCAGGTTTGTCAAAGCCCCAGTCGATTAAGTTGCGTTTGGCCGGTACTTAACCACATCTAAGCTAACGATTGTTCACAAAGACCCCCGCCCCAATTCCGCTAACACAAAACTTGTCACAAGTGAGATCCCCGAATGGCGCAGGTTCCATGTTAGCAAATCTCCTCATTTCTGCTGCTCCGTGGTCTGACTGCAATAACGGCACGAAAAATGTCATTAACGTAGACCCCCCCCCTGCCCGCATAATAAAAAAAATATCCGCGAGAATCCCGGAGCCTAACATAGAACCCGGAATTGCTTTTACTTTTTGACCGTACTACACTGCAGGGAAGCAACTCAAAGGCTTGGTTTTGCTTTAAGAGTTGGCGCCCTGTTTTAGAAACCGAAGGAACATCTCCAAAAGCATCCTGGCCACCTGAACCTGCTGTCCCGCGCGGTCCTGCATCAGCAGGCCGCGCCCAGCCGCCGGCGTCATGCCGTGTTCATGTGTACCCCTGCTTCCCCTGTTCCGGACTGCCCCCCCACCCGCACGTACACATCCCAACGATTTACATGTATGAAACGAGGGACAAGAAAAAATGCCACCGAAGCAGATTCTTTTGGATTTCGGTTTGAGCTCGGATTTGTGTATGGCCAATGGAACGATATTGTGGATTGTTGCAAAATCCAGAAATCCACCACCCTTCAGAATCCATGGAACAATGATTCCCCGTAGATACCAAGAAACGTTCTGGTTTCAACCATGGTTTCATTTTGTGGGACTCGCTTTCTTATCTTCTTTCTAGGCAATATGTTTCCGGTGTTTGTAACGGATTTCCTAGATTTATTAGCCTTTGGAATCAACTCGCTTCGCCAGGATCATGCATGGTTTGAATTAAGCCAGGAAAAGCGGTGCGAAATAGATTCCGTCCATCCACAGTAGGGGGCAGCAGGGGACCCGAAATGGCGAGCAACATGGATGGGCTATAAGCCCCAACAAGTTGGAGGTTAAGGCTTGCCAGGCTGGAATTTGGTAGGTTGGCTTCATGTTTCTTGCACCCGGACCGGCTACTGCCTGGTTTTGTTTTGGCTTCAAGTGCCAGCTGCATCAGAGAAAGGGGCTCTTCAACTTGTACTCCCCAACTTGTACACCCGGAGTGGTTTAGATCGTACACGACATCTTCCAAAGAGTGGGCAGCTGGTACCATCCTGACTGCGCCCGGCTGGTGCAAAGTTGTTTGTTTTTACTCGACTATCAAGACAAGCAGATAAAGACATTTAAAGAAACCTGGATCGCGTTTTGTTTCCATGCACTTTGCCCCAAAAGCAGCCACAGTGACTGAAAAAAACAGCAATTTGGCTATCTAGGAGTCTAATCAAACAGATGTTCCCCCCTCAAGATTGCATGCCACTCCGTTCCGGTTCGCGCCCCCCCCCCCCCCCACCCACCCCTAACATTTTCCAAAATTCTCACGAAAAGCACCGCCACCCCCCCTCCCCCTCCTGCCCGTTCCGGATTGCGTACCCCGTTCCGGATCGCGCCCCCCCCAACAAACCCTTGCATTTTGAAAATTATCAAAAAACACCGCCACTCGACCCGCTAAGAGAGATTGTAACCCAACATTTGATCGCTGTTGGGAATTAGTAACTGTAACGTTCGACTTTCCTGTCTTGGGTTTTGCGGCTGAGCATGGCTTTAATGGGTAGGCGCTTTTGCCAGCGCGAGACGCGGGCGCTCTCTAGAGGGGAAATGGCGTGCTTTGGTGCCTATAGACTGTCGTCCACGAAGTTGCCAAGCTGCGAGATCTTTGAGGCGCCATCGAAATGCTGCCAGATCGCAGGAAGGCAGCGCGACTTGTCGCAGCCGTCCGTCGCAAGCTTTGTCCTTGTCCGTCGCAGGCTCTGTCATGGCATGTCATGGCTGCTCTGTCGCAGCTGTCTGTCGCAGGCTCTGAGCTCCGTCACAGCTATAGCGTCTGAATGTCACAGGCTATGTTTCACAGGGAGCTGCGAGCTTGAGCTTGTCGCTAAAGCCAGCTTCTCGCTTGAGCTAGCTCCGAGCTGGAACTCTGCACTTCGGAGCAGCTCTTGGGCTGACTGTTAATGCTCTTCGCTTAGGCCAGTTCACAGACCAAGCTTGAGCTCTTCGCTTGAGCGCAAGACGCTGCCGAATTGCGCTTAGTCTTTGCCGCTAAACTTCATAGCTTAAGCTCTTGGGTCGCACATTTTGACCTTTTCGGATTAATGTCCACGGCCGCACCCCTGTAAGAAAACTTTCTCGAAACTTGTCCCGTCTCTGCTACTCACTCGCGACATTTGGCTTAGGCGCCCTCACACTGCGTGAAACTGAGGGCTTCAGGGCAAGTTAAACCCTAAACCTAAATTCGAAACTGGGCTTGAGGCCAAGTCAAACCCTAAACCTATCAAGCAATTGAGGGCAGCCCGAAACTGATGGCTTCACACCTGAACCCTGAAGTTACAAGGCCAGCAGCCCACATAATTACTTGGCTTCCCCTGCTAGCGCAGCCCCATTGCCTTGCGCCGAAACATGCGCTATCTTCCGCGTACCTGCAGGGCTGTCTGGGCGAGCCACACGTGCTGCGGGGTGGTCTGGAAAGAACGAGAAGGGATTGCACAGGCTTATCTCCTGAAAATTCAGCAAATCCACAAAGGGGAGCCAACTCTTAGCATCCGGTCCCCTCCAATTACCTGTCAGGGGCAAAGCGAGCCGCGAAAGGCGTACGCGAACACCGACAGGTACCGGCGCAGTCAAATGCGGGCGCCATGGTGCTGCTGCTTCAGTTGGTATATGTTGACCACCCAGGATTTCCACTCTAAACAAACCTCTTTCTTTTCAATCAACCTGCAACGCCAAGGCTTTTTGCACTGCATATATACCTCCTCTTCCGCAGCTGAAACCAACGGGTTGCTCTCATGCTACCCTTTGAGGTTGCTGGAGGAGACCAGCATCCCGAGAAATCGGGTAATGCTGCACGAAGGCGGGGGGGCGCGGGGCTGCGAACAATGCAGGAACCTCCGAAGTCCTGCTTGAGGGAAACCCAAGAGTCGGCCCTGTTTAGGGGACACCAATAGGACCCTAGCGTTCAACATCCATTGAAAGAACGTGGCGGTTTCAAACCTTTGCTGTGGATATGCAAGACTTGCCGTAGAGAGTTTTTTTGAAGGGTTCTGAGAACTATACTGGTGAGGGCCTAGTGGTTGTCCCGAAAAAAAAGAAAGAAAAAAGAGCAGATCTTAGAGGGGCTTTTCTCACGTTAACTTTCAAGAAGAACAGTGTGTTTGGGGCTTCCCGGTAAGAAACACAGATAACTACATAACATTATTTTAAGCTGATTTGACTCTCGATCTTTTCATTTTTACATATGCCCACTTTTCTTAGGGTATGTTTGAACAAGCGGTTTTTCCTGTACCGCCGCATCAATTTCCGAAAACCCGTTTTTGTTGTTGATAAGCTGTCAAACACCAGGTTTCTCGTGGTGCAGATCTTTTAGTCCCCTGCTGAGGGGTCAATCGATGGAGTTTGCTAGGCGCAGGTCTGGCTTTGGAGCATCGGACGCGGTTGGTTTTCAAAGGCCAGGAATTCAACGGCAGCCTTGTTCACTCACTCGGCAAAGTAGACGCTAAACAGGATCTTTGGAGGTTACAGGCCGTCTTTTCGGCTTCCCTCTGCTCCAGGACCCTTTTGAGTGGCTTGAACGTGCGAAAATGTGGCCCCTCCCAAGCCTTGGCCCAAGATCGAAACCGAAGTGTTTCGGTTGCTTGTGCTTGGAGGGCCCAGGACTGGGGCAACAAAAGTTGGTTCAAAGAACCCAACCCTTAGCCAGACCAACAGCAAACATCTTGACCGGTGTTGTTTTGTGCTGTCGTCATTTCCCGCAAAAAAAAAACACACAAAAAACAACACGGCGGCCCCGCGTTTCGGCGGGTCGTCTGGATGGCCGAAGAACCCTCGAGCCCGAGGCCTTCATGTGGACGAGGAGAAGTTCGGGTGCCGTTACCTCCTGGCCGAGGTCGGGATTTCGGGACTTGATTTCTTGTCTGGTTACCATGGAAGTGGCCAAGGGAGCGCAGGATTGCTTACTTGGATATTCAGCCAACTTAGCAAGTAGGTTATAACCGTGGAGTGGGGACATGGGCTAATCGCCTTAGCATCCAAGTGGGTGGTTGCTCTAAGGGTCATGACCCCAGCACTCAATGCAGACCACAAAGAGCCTCCAATTGAGAACCCTGACCCTTGAGGGGGCCCTGGAAAACAACCAGTTCTGAGGTGAATCACATGTAAGCCTGGTTATACGCTACTATGTCGATTGAGCATCCCAGTCGGTGGTCAGAATACCCTTCCGTGTCCTCGAAGTTGCAGGTCCTTCCGTCGGAGTCTGACATGGAGTCGCGGAGCTGGACGCCGCGCCACGAAGACCCCGCGGACAAGGCGGAAAAAGGCCAAATGGGTGGCTCTTGCTTTGAGGGTGCCCAACAATGGGGCGGTTTGAAGGGAAACGAAGAGGAAAACCCGGGGGGTCGCCGAAAGAACACACACCCAAATACACGCCCCCAGGGTTCAACCCATTAAGCAAATGGCAACCCAATTTGGATGATGACACTCCACAGTAAACAACGGTGGTTGTGTTAAACCCCGATTGTCCCTGTGGTTTGAATCCTAGGGCCCGGTCCTTTTTTGCTATTTTGGGAAGAGCCGGGTCTTCTACTGTTTTGTGACCATTTTTAGTGGTTGACACACCCTTAAAGTGGGCATGTGTAAAGGGTAGGGAGGGATTGTTACAGCGGACAACCTGGTTTTTAGCACATTCGAACTCAAAAAGCGGCCACAACCCAGGCGAGATGGAAGCCCCATGTGTTGAATGCGGGAGAAAAACGTATTGGTCCATCTTTCACCCAGCCACTTTATTTTGGTGTAAGAATGATGGGTGTCTTTCTAGATTTCGATTTTGCTTGTTGTTTCTTAAGCCTTGGAGTTTCCGCCCTGATTCCCCTTTCTCTGGTAACTTGGCACACGTATCTTGTTTATACATATATCTTCATTTTGGCGGAGAAAGGGTCATCGCATGCTCCCCATGTTTTCTCTCAAACAGCCCCCACCAAGAGGAACCCAAGTAGCAATGGCCCAGGTGACGTTCACACGGGCTGAAAAGGGAACTATGGAGTGCGTGTTTGCTCTGTTTTGCAGGCTACTCCTTTGGGGTCTTTTTGGAGGAAAACCTAGAGGGGATCAACCATTCTTTTTTGGGAGGTATATTGACGTGACATACCCATACACAAACTATCATATAAGGGCTGAATCATTACTTGTAGTTTCTTCCTTTAGCCACGCCCTTTCTGAGTATGTAGGCACTAAAATAATCTAGGTGAGTGCCCACATTGGTGGTGTGCCATGTGGTTTCCCACTAAAGCCCCGACATGCAACCAACCCATAAAATTGCACCCTTGAAAAGCCATACTGCCCCGGCACTTGGGTGTACCAAGCACTTAGCAAGTAGGCTATTGCCATGGATAAAAGTAAGGACCAACCCCGCAGCTACCCCCCTCATGGCCATGGTTACAATCTACTCATCCGGTAGGTTGAACATCCAAGTGGGCTTGTCTTTGTTGGAGGTCGCCCACTGCCCACTTTTGTTTTAGTCGGAATCCAAAGTGGGTGTGGGTCAAAATTAAACCAACAGGGGACCGCAGATTTTGGTCCATGTTTCCACTCACCAGGGTTCCATTTTGGGGATTCCTATTTTTAACCCACGGCCAAGTGACGCCAAGAGCCCCCGATGTCCGGCTCAACGCCTTGGCCTTCCTTTGGCAGGACCCGGTGGTGAAGGCGCACTGGGCGCCCTTGGTGGAGGTGCTGGCGGGCTCCTGGCCCGGGCTGCACCCGGGGCGCGCCCTTCGGAACCAAGTTGGGAAGCCAATCAGCTTGACTGCTGTTGGGTTGGATCTTTAGACTTTGACTTTTTGGGAAATCCAGGGGTTTTCCACTAAACCCACAAGAAGTGAAGCTGTTTGCAGAGGGGTCAACAGCAACCAAGTCAGCCAACAGCCAACAGCATGTTGGCAGATTGGCTTTAAGGAACCTGGTCCATTCCCAAAGCTGCTCATTGCCGAACAAAACGCCCAACACGGATTCACTGGGCCATTGTAGTAGAACTTGGGGATTATGGTACGGCCTGTATAAATCTTTATCTCTTTAGCAGAACCAAAATCCCGCTCGGGTTTCGGGCGCTCAAGCCGCACGCGCTTTGGGCTGTCGACGGAGGTATCCGTCCAGGTTTCAATTCAAAAGAGAGCTTCCTTTGGTGGAGTGTGGAGCCATGTGTTCCGGGTCTAGGGCCACTTTGACAACTTAGTTGCGGAAATGACTCATATTTGGGGTCTCCTCACCTGGTGGTAGTCCGTGTGTCCTCAAAAAAGACAGCCCACATACACCCGACGTGTCCACCATCCTTTTTGCGCCCATAGCCAATGTTGCAGGCAGCCAAGAACCCTCAAAAAGCAACGCCGTAATTGAAGAGAAGGCTGCAAAATCGACCCTAAGTGTCCATGACCCCACCAATACCCCCCAAGGACCCTACAAAGCCAATGCCCTAAAGGAAGGTGGTTACTGATGCTAAGCGTCCACCACCCCCTCGAAACGCGGGGTCAGGTGCAGATGCTGCAGAGCGCGTTGGCCATGCGCCCAACATGCGCCCGGTCTGGCGAGAACCCGAGCTGAGAGCGGGACGGCGCGCGGGCGCGTGAACCCCAGGTCCCCCGGTGGGCCCCGAACTCCAACATCCAAAGATTGAAACTGGGCTGGCTGGTTTGTGTTGGGAGCAAATGAGCAGGAATTGGTTGTCTATCTCTCCGCAAAAGGAGCAAACCAGCAAACGAGATATTTCCATGCACCAGGCAGTTGGACCCCCGAGAGCCAAAATTCAAGACATGGAAAGAATGGTGGGGTTAACAAAACCATCGTTTACCTTGGAGCTTCATGATGGAAATTGGGTTCCCTTGGGCCACTCTTTTGGGGATAGAGACTTGGGGCTGGGACGACTTTGGCCCGTTCCGCCGGCTTGACGAAAGGGGAGTGGTTGAGGTCTGGGCCGCATGGTTTTTGAAGCTGAGGTGATAGGGAGCTTGGCACGGTTCAGGTGGACGCAGTTTGCCGCCAAAGCAGAGCCTTGTCGAACCAACTTCCACGCGGGGTTTTGGGCACGGGCGCTGCAAGGACGCAACTTTTGGAGCTCGGTTCCAGCAAGGGCCCCAATTCGCATGCCGCTAAGCTGGCAGGAGGTTTCGCGGATGGAGCAGACCCCACGACCTCCAAATGGTGGTATGCTTTCAATCCATGCTTCCACTGAAGAGAGCCTCTTTTTTTGGTCAGGGGTTGACATTAGACCCTAAATTCAGCGGGTATTTGGAGCAGAGGGATGTGCAAAATGCTGCTGGGGCTTGTTGCACAGCGAGGCCCGTTGTACAGTGCGGTGCTGAAAAGATGTGCATGGTCGGCCGAGCAGGCTGCACAATAGACCCTTTGCCTGGGGAAACCAATGGAGTCCAAAAAGGCTAATTATGTAGAAAGCTTTTTGGTCACGTTGTTTTCCTGCAAAACCATGCCGATGCCCGTGTGCGTAATTGTCAGATATTTGCCCTTCAGATTCTTACGTGATTTTGGGCAGACCTTTTTCGTACCAGGTGTTGATTGCCTGTTGAAGCAAACAAAACGGCACGTTCAACCCACCAAACCAGACACATTCCCACTTTGCCTTTAAAACCCCTCAACAGCTCTTGCTTGCATGTTCAGCCCAGAAATACACGGGTTCAACTCCGTTTAGAGGCGCTTTTGTGCACGTGAGCATCAGAATCTAGGTTGCTTGCCTGGAGCAGGTTTGGCTATGGGTTCAACCCCCATCAAAATTGACCGATGATGAAGCTTCTGAACAGAAAACATTTTTTTTTTTTTTCAATGGTCCTTGTCTTAGTGCTTTGAGCCCAGGGTGTGCCCTCAAATTTGGGCCAGTCGTGGGCGTGTGAACATCAGGGACGTGTTTTTCTTCTCGTGGTCCTCCCTGTAAGACGAAGGAGAATCCAAGCCAATCCCTCCAGGGCCCTCAGCCACAGTCCGACTTTTGACCCAAAAAGCAACGGGAAGCTGAGCAGGGAAACTGGTCGCCTTGAGGGCGACCATCTGGCCTTCTCTTGCAGATGTTGCCCTTTTTTCTTGTTTGGGGGACACAAATACAGACTTCAGGGGGCCCGCTCGGCCTTTCAAGGCTTCTTGGGGTGATTGCTTTCCCTCGCGCAAGAAACTCCCGTTTCGGGAGCTCACGATAGGCCTTGGGGGAGCAGCCTATGCAGCTGCAATACTCCAGGGCCTTTGGGGCCAAGGCCAGCGGGAGGCACTCTGCGGGTTTACCGTTAAGAGCCCTTCGTTCCTAGGGGGCAAACCATTCGGGTGCTTTTCTTGGGGATCCAATCCTTGGTTTTGCATGTATAGCCCGTTTTGTTTTTTTGGGGGGGGGGTTTTGGAGGGGCAAACCATTCGGGTGCTTTTCTTGAGGATCCAATGCTTTGTTTTGCATGCATAGGCCCCTCCGCCATGGAGGTTGTTCCATCGAAGACTTTTGGGTTTCCCATTGTTGGTATTCAAACCACTTCAGGCAACCATGTTATATAGGGTTTATTCGGGGACCAACGCCGGTTGCCGCAATCATATCCATGGTGATAACCTACGTTCTAAGTCGGCCGCCTACACCAGCTTTGTTTAAGGTATGACGTGAAGCCCTGACAAACAAAGGAGGCATCCACTAGACGGCAGGTCTTTCAAAATGCCCAAACGTGTGGGGCCCGGGGCCTTTTGCGTTCCATTCAACGCCTAGGGGAACTCAGAGACTAGAAGTCGGAGGGACCCCTCACTTGCGAACAGAAACGAACCAAAACAATGCAACCCGAAAACTGGAAGTCCGGTTTCGGAGCTTGAAGTCTCCTTTTGAACATGGCCCTTGGGGCCACTTCGCAAAGCCTATGCTCCAAATGCCCGATTGATGGTCCAGGATATGATGTCTCAAACAGGATGTTTTCAGTGTGAAACACCTGCTTTTCGAAGATATGCCTTCAAACAGGCTGGAATTTGGAGCAGGTACCCCGAGAGTTCCTTGGGTCTAGTTGCCGCGCCGCATAATCGGTTTGGGTCCCTTCCACGATCCTCAACGCTTCTCTATTTTGTTCCCCTTTTGGGTGGGTTTGATTCGTGAAGTATCCCTCAAAAGGTTGGTTTCCCACATCTCCTATTGGAAACGGGTGTCCCAAAACCGGTGGGTTTCCTGTTGGTGTCCCTGCAACCCCGTAAAAGCACCCAAAAAGGGCTCTACACAAACACCCAAGTGAGTTCCATTCTGCGCCTCACTGCTCTTGGCCCAGTTCGCCTTTCCAAAGGGTTGCACAATTAATCGAAGGTCACACCCGCTTCTCCCTATGGACACTCTTTGATTCTTGGTGGCTGCAAGCGTTCAAACTCGGATGTTTTGCCGGGAGGGAGGGGGTGGGCAGGAAGCAGGGATCATCATACCGATCGGAGTGAATCAAGGTTAGACTGTTCATGAATGAGTGCCGAACCAATTGAACAACTTCGGGAGTTGTGTTTTGGATGCTGTCCAACGGCCAAGTTGACTTAATGCCTAATGATGTCTAATGATTAGGTCTGATGATGTCTGTAGGATACGATGTCTAATGATGTCAAGCCCTGGCAAAAAAGGAGGCATGTACCATGTGAAATCCAGGTTCTTCAACACGCACCCCCAAACAAAAAAAAAGAAAGAAGAAGAAGAAGAAGACGAAGAAGAAGAAGAAGTCAATAAACTAAAAATCAAAGTAGCCGACAATAAAACATGAATCAAACACACTGACTTAACAAACACAACAAACAACAAACAGCAAACAGCAAACAACAAACAACACAACAAATGTGAGTACAGGGTATGATGTGATGTATGTATTGGAGCGCACTGTTTGGTCGGCTCAAATGAATCACTTTCAGTACCTATTGCCACCAAAGTTCAGGCAGCCCTTAACTGGCGGTTTGGATTTTCTTGAGCGTAGCCCTACAACCTCCAACCGGCAGCGTCACAAGAACCACCCATTTGGAGGAATCCATTCGGCCCCAAAAGGGGCGAACCCCTTTTCGGCAAGAAACCAAATTGCACCCTGCGCCCGCAATCCACCAAGGGAAGGCCAAACAGGGCTTGACATGACTCCGAGAGCCCGGGGCGATCCAACCCCTTTGAACATCGGAGGTGAAGCTGATCCCGAGAGCTTGGACTTGATTCAGGGAGCTCCTCAGCCTTACTTCCCCATGGCCTTGTTGTAGTCAGGGTTCCCTTGACTTGGTAGACAACAATGCCCAGTGGAAATCAACCACCCCTAAGAAGTCATACGGATGTTCCACTTTGCTCTCGTATCGCTGAAAGGGTGAATCCTGCAACCAGCCGTACTCTAAAATCCCCACTACGTAGCTTAAGGGCGTGTTGCCAAAGCCTGACTTTCCATAGTAAATACCTCCTTTGTGAGGCCAGGGTTGACATCGGGCCCTACAAAGGCAGATCAACCAAATACCCACGGTTGTAGGGTCTAACGTCATCCTAAAGAAGGGTAAAGGGTTGAGCCCCTGTAAACATAGCGCGCGTATTTCGAGGTTCCGGGATGCCCTCTTCCAAGATTGTTTCCACCACCCCCAAACCAGTATTCTCAGGCACTTACTGGGAGATACAGCCACCACAAGGCTACTATATAAAGGGTAGAAACCTCAGTTTACCATGGGGCAAGTGGTTTGAGGCTAGTGGAAACCATCATAAGCCTGAGGTTGCCAGCCCTCGATCGCCAGGATTTAAAGATCTTTGGGCTCAGCAGCGCCCCCGACGTCCGGCTCTTTGGCCTCAAAACGCCGCCCCCGGGCTGGGATCTATTTTCTCGAATATGGCTATGGGTCACGGACCCACGGACCCATGGTACCATCTTGGTTGGTAGGTGCACCGCCCATGTTAGTCAGTCTTAGTGGGGATGAGGATGTTCGCTGGGGGTCCGGGATTTTGACCCATGGCCATAGTTGTTCTCCGAACATGGGGGAGGGGGCTGTGCAACTCTTCGGCCTCATCAAGCATCATCATTTGTTCTTCAAACCCATGTTTGAAAAAAAACACGATCGGGCTTTCCAGGGTAAATACCTCCTGGTCACGGGCTGACATCGTACTCTATCAAAAGAGGATACTTGGAGTATTTTTGGGTGGGGTCCCCACACAGAGGGCATTGTTGCGTCTGTCGAACGAAATCCCCAAGACCATGCCGCAAAAGGCAGAAACTCTGTCTCACCCAAACAAGGGAACATGAGAACTGCTCACGAATACTCACTGTTCAAAGGACTGGGTTGTCCACGGATCACAGAATCTGCCTAAAAACTGTGGGCATTTGGAGTAAGGAACTCAACGGCCATGTTTGATCCTGGGGTTTGATTCCTGATGTGGTTCAAACATCGTTGCAAACTGGGTGTTTAGTGACTTTACTGTTTTATTGGGAAGATTCAGCGGATGAGGCCAAACAAGTCCGAACTTTTCATGCGCCACTAGAGTGGTCTTCCCAGACAGTGTAAAGCTGGGGAAATGAGGAGAAATTTGGTCAGCTTCCTTCCAATTGGTAGTTTGGAGCTTTTGAGGGTGGTTTCCCAGTTGCCCCTGCAAGGAC